GCAAGAAAGTGGATGCTCCAAGTTCTAGCTCTAGCGTTCTCAAGCCGCGCTTTCATGAAATCTCGGTGTTGAACCCACCGTCAAGTCCATTTGAATCTGCCATGATTAGTGACTATCATGAAGACCTTACGAGCACACGAATTTACAAAGCGTCGAAGAAACCCAAAAGAACGCGGGCGCGTTGCCCAGCTGCGCAGGCGTGCGTTCACATGCACACATGGCACCTGCGTGGGTGCGCATGGCACATGCGCGGGAGCGCTCCCCTGCCCACGCAAACACTCCTCCCTGTTTCTGGTTTCGCTCGATTTCGTTTCCGCGCCTCTTATAAATACCTATTTTTAACCCGATTTTCGGAAAAAGTTTTAGACATAATTTTAATCATAATTTTAGATTAGTTGAGATATTTTCTCTCTAGTTTTAAGGTTAGTTTAGGAGTAGTTTGAGAGAAAGTGAGAAATTCATTGGGGGTTTGAGAGATTGAAGATCTAAGGTGACAATTGTATTGAAGATCTCCATAATTAGTTAATGAGGATTTATAACTCTATCTCATTTAATTGCTTTGTTTAATTTCATGTTTGTTTGATTAGATTTTGATGATTGATCTTGATTAGTGTAATTGTTTTTTTATATTTTGTTGATTTTTGATTTATTTGGTTGCTTGTTAATTTGAGGATGATTCTTGAGTAGTTGTTTGGCTAAAGATTGGGTGAAACTTGTATGATAAATTAAAAGTGTTTTGATTTGGGAATTATGTTGACTAATTGTTGAGATTAAAGTGATAAATGTAAGTTTGCATGAGTGTAATTTGATTAGGCCTTGAGAATTATGCTAGATTGCATTGTGATTTCTAATGACACGAGCCATTGATTTAGGAATTGCAATTATCGATTGGTTTAGATTGTGATTTTCCTAGTTTGTCGAGAGACCACTAGCTTAACGATTAGGAGATAGCTCTTTAATTCCAATTGATAGCTCTTATCATTAGTCTTCATAACCATTGATTGTCATGTTTTTCCCAAATTGTTGCAATTATCATGATTACTTGTTGATCCCCATTCCCTAGTGTTTCATTTGTTTGGTTATTTGTTTTAGTAGTTGTCTAGTGTTACCTCTTCACCCTTGACTTCGACCTAGCTTAGGCACACAATTGAAAGCACTTGAACATAACCGTTCCTAGTGGTTCGACCCTTAACTTACCTCTATACTTGTATTTAGGTTTGTTAAATTAAGTGATTATAAATTTTGTTTGGCTTAGGGAGGATAAGTCAACGACCTAGTTTCCCCCTTACCAGTTCTCCATTTTCGTTAGAAGACGTTGGCGTTGAAGATCTCATGTTGATATAACAACTAAGTCGCGTCTCCAAAAATCTTTTGACTTTGTCAAGGATATCCACCTTGGTGAGCTCGCTACTTAGATTTCTAAGTAAATTAAATCCTCCTTTAATTTGCTGAAGATGGTTTCGACCACCTTGATGACCTCTCTTAGCGACTATTTTATTTGTGTGTAGCCGCGATATTTTAAATGAGATTAAGAGGTTAACGACAACTTCTTTGTTTAGGCTATTCAAGTTCACAGGCCATCAAGAGCCCGAGCAGATGAGGGGTTTCTTTAAAGCATGGAAGAACCACTCGTTAGAGATTATTGAGAGTATTTCGTCGGAGGATTTACAAGGGACGGTGTAGCTTTGTGTTGATAGCTTAGTGAAATGCAAATGATTCATGACACTGGGTTATACTTTGGGGCTGACTCACGGTGAAATCGACTCACCTAATATTTAGTTTTGTGATTTATAAAACTTATAAGAATGATAGGATTGCATTCGTAGACTTTTAATTAGTGATCTTAACTTCTTTCACACATTTAAAATAAAGAATTCAGTATATGCATGTATGTATGTGAAAATTTATAGAACTTCAAAATTAGGCATTCTAAAATCAATGAATCACAATTTTTTTAGTGAAATATATGATGTTTGGTGTTCATGCTTGCTCCTCTGTTAGCCCGTGGACTCTTTGCGCTAGGATGTTGTTAAGTACACATGTGTTTTTTTCTTTTCAAATATTTGTGGTTTCTCTCTTCTTATATGCAATATGCTAAAATTGTAGCTTGTTACGTCAACAATACATTTGTTTTCGCCCAATATTCTATTATATCACACATTGGCATAGATATTGTAAGTTAAAACTATTGAAATAACAATAACAACCAGGTTAAAATGATGGTTAATCCCGTGATTGATTTACATATTTTATATATCATGCCCTTGCTCTCTCACATGAGAACATGTTGGGGTTCAAGTGTGGATTGACATGAGTCGTCCCTCTATACCTAGTTGCTTAATATTCCTCTTTGAAGGGGGGGGGGATGGTATTCGAGCCTATAACTTTTGTGTTACGTTGACTCTAATACCATGTTAGAGGACCAATTCGACCAAAAGTTTAAGCTGATGGTTGAGACCCTAAAATATCATGCCCCTTATATGAGAGCCCGTTAGGCTTGAAGTGTCGGTGCAGCATGAGACCCACCATACCCAACGCTTAATATTCCACTTTAAAAGAAGAGACGGATGAGATTCGAATCCGTGATCTTTGTGTCACGTTGACTCCAATACCATGTTAATGGACCAATTAATTCATTAACAAAAACAAATGCTTGTAGTCAAGACATGTTAAAATTGAGTGGCAAATAGTCATTGCTTATTTTACTATGAGGTCTATAGTTGAGCAAAACTACCCAATAAACCGAAAATCTGATCTGTAACCGTTCCGAAAATTAGGGTACTCGATCCGATAACAATAACGGTTTAGGTACTCGTTTCGATAATTTGTTGTCATGTATGATTATTGGGTATCATTTTTAAATTAACGATTATCCAATCCGATAAGCATTTTTTTGTTTTTTTTCCTACTTAAATCTATTTTTCCAAAATCTAAACTCTTACTTGACTTCATAATCACTTTATAATATCAACGATTATTAATATTATTACTAATTTGGTCAAGATCATGTGGTATTATTGTTAATTAATGCTAAATGATATCCTAATAACTACTTTATTAAGTTTAATTATCATTATTGGATATCTTATTGGGTACCCAATAACCAATCCGAAAATCCGGGTACCCGAACTCCAAGTACCAGAACTTATTGGTTCGGTTTATGGATATAAGTTTTAGTATATTGATTATCAGTTACCCGTACCATTAGTACTAACGGTATGGTTACCCGAACCGCTAGTGCTAACGGTATGGGTACCTGTCCCGTGCTCACCCCTGTCTATAGCTATATACCTTATACTTCGTATAATTTAAAAAAAAAAAAAAAAAAAATGTCCTGTCTCTGCTAATTGGTAACACCATGCCTTGTGCAATTAGTGAAAAGGCCGTTGATCAAGATAAATTTCTTTTGTTTTGGCTGATAAATTTCTTAAAAATTAAAAATTCGAAAAGAGCAGTAATATTCATAGCTTATTTAATTTAATGACTATAAATTGTTGTTATGTAGCCCTTGTGGCTTATCTAGTTATCTTATTACCCCTAAAATTAAAGATGCCTCCACGTGCACTTTTTGAGAGTCATTTAGGGCTTGTTCTCATTGACTGAACTCATCTGAATTGAAGTGAACTGAGCTGAACTGAACTGAATTGAATTGAGCTGAACTGAACTAAATATTTTATAAGAGAAGGAAATTGGGAGCAAAACTGAACTGAACTGAGCCCTGAACTAAACTGAACTGAGCTAAACCCTGAACTGAACTGAACTGAATTTCAACGTAAGAGAACAGACCCTTAGAAATTTATCCACCAAAAACTTACCACATATAGTATTAGTAATATGAAATTTCCAATTTACTGTCAAAAAAGAAAAAAAAATGACATTTCCATTTAAAAAGTATTAGTCAAGTAATAGAAACGAAGTTTTTTTTTCTTTAATTTTTTTTATAGAAAATTAAAGACCATGTCATATTAGACTCTAATATATATTTTACTAGATGAAACTCGTGCGATGCACAGTTTGTTTGAATTTTTGTAAATGATATTTTTACATATATATTTATATGCTAAAAATGGTTAAATATTTAGATAAAATTCCTGACATTAAAAGATAATATTTTATATTTAATTAATTTAAACTGGATAATCTCATTCGCCAATTTTGCTTACGTGTCAGTTAAATTATTTAATTCTAAAAGAAATTAATAATCTCGTATTTAATTGGCTACCACTAAAATTTATTATTCTATGTGGTGCACTGAAAAAATTAAGTCTTACGTGGCTCTCTAAAAACTCGGGAAAAAACTCCTCTTTATATATATACTAGTTTTGTGCCCCGTGCGATGCCCGGGTTTTTTTATGGAATTTTAAGATAAAATTATATTATAATTCAATTTAATTGATTAAAAATAGAATTCTTAATTAACTTTTTTTTTAATTTTTTTTATATAAAGCTATCTATATTGATCCAACGTGGTACGACACTTGGCGAAAAATTAAAGTGCTATACGATGTTGTCTTGTGGCCTAATTATAAGTTTATTATTTGGTATTTTATCGAAAATAAAACTCTAAACTAACCATCTTATTCTAAAATTCTATCCTGATTTGATTGAAAAAAGAATTTTTAACAACTTTTTTATCTTATGAATCTATTTAAATCTATCCAAGGTGGCGCAACACTTGGCGAAAAGTTAGAATGTACTAAAAGTTTAGCTTTATATATTAGTTATATGATATACGTAGTATATTAGATTTTATTAGTTAGGTCTGATGCTAAATTATTCTTTAATCAATCTCTCCTGGTGTGTCTTTTAGTTTGGATTTTTTTTTTCCTTTTGGTTAAAATTTGTTTAATGTAAATTTTTTAATAAGGTAAATAAAAATTGAGTAAAATGGAAATTGCCTTAATTATACTAAATCAATATAACAAGAGTTTATTTTAAAATTATATTGACATATATTGAAACTTAAACAACCGTAAATTATTACACGGGACCTAACCTAGTTACATTAAAAAGTAAGGTGTAATTGAACAAGTATACGAAGGAGGGAAGGTATAATTCAAAAAAGGAAAGAAAACGATGGATTAAAAAAATTCCGTTTGCAATAATATTTCATAGACTATAACTTTGTTTTCCTATAAAACATCATAAAAAATAAAATAATAATATTAAAAAAGTGCCATAAAATAACCCATTTAAAACATAGTAGCAGAAGAAGATTGAGAAATAAAAAATTTTCAAAAAGCGTCAACTGTAAGAAGAGAGAGGAGAGAGAAAATCAAGGGAGGAGAGAGAAAACCGCTAATGGAGGAGTGCTAACCAAGAAGAAGATACAGAAATTACTAACACTACTAAGCTCAGATAACTGGATTGAGAAAAAGAGGAGAGAGAAAACTGCCATTTTTGTGGGTTTTCGAGCTTTTTTCATCTTCATCAATGGCGGTTGCAGTATCAAGCAAAGCTAAACAAAGTAGAGGAGGAAGTTTCATTGTAATCTTCATTTTTATTCTTTAATATCTTTTTTTACTTTCCTTCTTTTCTACACTTTCCATATTTTTACTCAATCTCAATTTATTGCTCATATACAACACCACTTTTTCGATTTAATTTATTTTCTTCCTTTTTTATTTTTTTTGTTTTGGAGTTGAATTAATTAATACCCAGATCACAAATTGATCTTCTAAAAGAAGCTGTATTGATTAGTCTCATTTTTTTTTATTTTCTTTCCATATTAGTGAAGATTTTCAATATTTTTTTGCTTTTTTTTTTATATATATTTGGATGCTGCAAACTTTTCTGGGATCAAATCTGGAGGATTCTGGTATTGGTTGATGAATTGGGATTTTGGATATGATTTTAGTCATTAAAATGATATAAATCATCTGGGTTGGTGAGGATTGAACTGTTCATGTGGGAAAGATCTTTGAGTGTTGTAAATAATAGGAGTATAATCATATAATAAATTAGCTGTGATTTTCCTCCTTTTTTTCAGTATTTTATGAGCTAGGAGAAAAAGGAGTATAAATTTGTTTAATTACTTTGAAAGGAGGAAGCAGAAGGAAACTTGGGATAGATCTAATATGTGAATCCCTCTATTCCTTTCTCAGCATACCCCCACCAAATTTTTTCTTTGTGGGTTGGATTTTTTTTCATTGTCGATGTCGTTCGAGTTGTGCAATATACCTTATTGATTGATTACACTTGAGGTGAATTGGGTTTTTTTTTTGGTGTTGAATTAGGTAGAGTTTTTGCTTGGTTATTGAGATTAAGGAGGTTAGAGTTGTGTAATAAACTTGGTGGGTGATTTCATTGGATGGGAGTGCTTAATAGCAGTCCTTTACAAGATCTCATTGATAAGTTTAGGTCTTGGGCTTCTTTGGGCAAAATCACTTCCTTTTCTTGCTCTTCTGATATGGATATGGTTGAGAGCTCTTGCTGCCAGTGTGAACTGAAGTTTTCGGAGTCGTGCCTCAAGTATAGCTGTCTAGGCTGTAAAAGGTTGTTGTGTGCCTCTTGTGTTCGTGGGAGTGGTGCTCGTGTTGTTATTGCTACATTTAGTGGTAATAGAAATGGTGATCACCTGGAGAAAGTTATTAAGGCCTGCAAGTTCTGCTCTAAGCCTTCTAAGAGGCAAATTGAAAAAATCTATCCCTCCGAGTCTCCACGGGCAAGCCCGGAGCCTCTATCACCTCCTGCCGATTGTGATGATATAAGAGGCAACATAATTGCTGAGAGAACTGAAGACGATTGTGTTTCTCATACAGTTGGGTTCCAGGATCATAACATTTCTTCTCAGAATGTGAGCAGCAGCAGGATGTTGTCTTATCCATCACAAATCTCTCTTCACCATTCTCCAATACAGTAAGCCTTTTCTTTTTTTAAGAGATTACTTTGTGCCTAGAGGTTCATTTTTTTTTCTTTCTTTAGAAGTTCAGTACTGTTGTTGAGTTTACATGTGATGATTGAATTTGTTTGTCTGTGCCAAAATCATTTTGTAATAATTTTTGGCTTCTAAGTATGAATGCTCCCCCTCCCCCCAACAGTAAAAAAAAAAAAAAAAAAAAGATGATTTAGTGTGGGATGAGTAATTTGCTACACTAATAACTGTTAAAAGCTGTTTATGTTCAAAGTACATCAGAATTTGTTTGATAAAATGTAACTCAAGTATTTGGTGTAGTGAAAAAGGTTGATCTGCTACTCGAATTGGACAATATTTGGGAAATTTTTTACTCATAAATAAGAAAGAAAGGAAAACTCAGTTTAGAGGACATCAGGGTTTTATTTGAACAGGAAAGATAGCTGAAAGTCATAATTGGGCGCCAACGAACTCAGCAATTAGGTCTTAAAATTAATGAATTCTTGTATGCTATTTCTTGTGGCCTTTTGTTTGCTGTATTCCCCTGATAGATTTTTTCATGTTGGATATAGGAGTGATGAAGAACCAGAAGAGTCCGGGAGGCATTTTTTCAGCTCAACAAGTGAATATTGCCATGACAGTTCAGACATAGACACTAGTAGTCTTAGTTTTAGGAATGAGTGTTATAGTTACAGGTCAGCAGATTCGAGTCCCTTAGATAGCCCCTCTAGGTTCAATATTAATACACCTAGGGCTGGGTGCCCTGTACAGCAAACAGTAGGTGGAAGCCCTAAACCTCAGCATGATTGTCCCTCTAGTGTGGCCGTTTTAAAAAGGCTTGACAGAGGGACTGGCAATCTTGCAAATGTTGATGGCAGATTTGATGAAGTCACCATCCTTGTCAAAGAAAATGAAGAGCTTCCTAAACCTTTGGATTTTGAAAATATTGGTCATATTTGGCATCCTCCACTTCCTGAAGATGATAATGATGAGGCAGAAAGAAATTATTTTGAATATGACGACGATGACGATGATGTTGGAGTATCTGGTGGTGTCTTCTCTTCTACTGTCAGCCTTCCTGATTTATGTCCTGCAAAAGAAAGCCACAATGAGGAGCAGGGGAAACCCTTAAGGTCTGCAATTCAAAGTCATTTCAGAGCTCTTGTATCACAGTTATTACAGGATGAAGGCGTTGCAATTGGAAAGGAAATGGGCAGTCAAGATTGGTTGGAAATTGTTAGTAATTTAGCATGGCAAGCTGCTAATTTTGTCAAGCCAGATACTAGCAAGGGAGGCAGTATGGATCCTGGAGACTATGTGAAGATTAAGTGTATTGCATCTGGAAGCCCAAGTGAAAGGTATGTTTCAAAATTGTTTATTGTTGTCAGGGCAAATTGAAAGTTCTTATTTGGTATTGAACTGCTATTATGTGAAGAATAACTCAGATTTCAAGATCAAGGTTACCAAAATTACAAATCAAATAGCTATAACTTACATAAAATGCAAATTTTTAACTGTTATGTCATGCACAAACATGCAAGATGCAACATTATACACATAGTTAAATTGTATTATTCTTAGTTTTAAATTATCAAAATGAGGTAAAACTAATGGACGAAAAATCAATACATACGCTGGACTCTTAGAAGTTGCTTAATAGAGACGGATGAGAAGATAGTACTTAAAGCTGAACTGCTGGTATATTACTTTTTTGCTAAAGGTGCATAGATTTTTATTACTAAATTGTCAATTTTAGGGTTGATGCTTGATGGAATGAGAATAAAATGATCATATTTCTGATCTTAATTGATCATATCACCTGTGTGATTTTAATAGTAATTCAAATCGGTTAGTTGATTTTGGATTTGTATAAACATCATAGATCCTACGACCTTCATATCCTTTGTCGTATCCCATTGTTTTTCTGCTGTTGTTCTTATATTTGATTTTTGGATTTTGTTTTCCTCAGCACCCTGATAAAGGGTATAGCATGTACAAAGAACATTAAACATAAGAGAATGACTTCTCAATACAAAACCCCAAGGTTATTGCTCCTAGGTGGATCACTAGAGTACCAAAGAGCTCAAAATCAGCTGGCATCATTCAATACATTGCTGGAAGAGGTATTTAATTATTTTTTTTTTTATTCTTATTTGTATGCGTTTGATCCAATATGGTTTTTCAAAATGTCATAGTTATTTCTACTTTTTGATCTGAGCAGGAGATGAACCATCTGAAGGTGATTGTCTCAAAGATAGAGGCCCATCGGCCAAATGTCTTACTTGTTGAGAAAAGTGTGTCATCTTATGCACAAGAATATCTACTTGAAAAGGAGATTTCTTTGGTTTTGAATGTTAAAAGGACTCTATTGGAGCGAATAGCAAGGTGCACAGGGGCTTTGATAACTCCCTCTGTTGATAAAATTTCAGTGGCTCGACTTGGTCACTGTGAGCTTTTCCGGTTGGAGAGAGTTTCTGAAACACTTGAGATTGCTAAACAATTCAATAAGAGGCCGTCTAAAACCTTGATGTTTTTTGAAGGTTGCCCTAGACGGTTAGGTTGTACGGTAATATTTTTCTCTTCTCTGCTTTATTTTTTGCTCTTGAAATTTGAAAATTGCAGGGCGCCTTGAGTGGGCCTGTATCTTTCTTTTCATGTGGAAAGTTATATATGGATTCATGTCAAAATAGTTTTTCTAGACAAAACTATCTATCTTTGATTATAGAAATTCAGTGGCATGCATAATCCAGTACAAAAATTGGTGACAGAAAAAAAAAATGATTTTGATTGGGTGTCGTATATTCTGATTTTCTTGTTCATACAGATCTTGCTGAAGGGTTTATGCCGGGAGGAGCTGAAGAGAATCAAACACGTGGTTCAATACTCAGTTTTTGCAGCCTACCATTTGTCCTTGGAAACTTCTTTTCTTGCTGATGAGGGTGCTCATTTACCTAAAATGGCACTTAAACAATCTTATTCTGAACAAACAAAGATAGTTGCTAATAATGCAACATCGACTCTCCCTTGCTCTGATGCAGTTGCTCCTTCAAAGCAGTCAAGTGATGTGGTAGCTTCCTCTGGAAGATTTGTAGATAAGATGGAGAGCAGTCAACAAGAAGTATCACTTGAGCTTCTTAGTTCTTTGTCAGGTCTCCCTGTTGATGCTACTACCGATAAGAAGCTGCCCCACATGCTTACGGATGGCTCATTGCCTAATGCAACTGTTGAATCTACATCCCCTGCATGTGATGACTACATACTTGGATTCAGTGACTCAAGTAGCAGTGTAATTGATCCTGTGCAGTCTAAATTGCACGAGAAAGTGTTTCCAGACGAAGTTAAGCCCAAAGAGATGGATAATATTGATGAAAATGAAGTTTCTGGTGACCATATTACATCAACCGAGAGTCATCAGAGTATACTGGTGTCCTTTTCTAGTCGTTGTGTAGCTAAGGCAACTATTTGTGAACGTTCTCGACTCTTGCGGATCAGATTTTATGGTTCATTTGATAAGCCACTTGGGAGATATCTCCGTGATGACCTTTTTGATCAGGTATTTTGTTTTACTTTTCTTTTATGCATCACTGTAGGTTGTTATGCCAGTCTACTTAAATTTGTGCTACAGTTATTTTGTTATCAACCCTGCTTTCCAGATTTAGAAGTTGACAAATTTGATTTACCTGTACAGACATCATTGTGTCGATCTTGTAAAGAACCTGTTGAAGCACATGTGCAATGCTATACTCACAAGCAGGGTGTTTTATCTATAAATGTTCGGCGACTAGACAAAGAAAAACTTCCTGGAGAGCGCGATGGAAAAATATGGATGTGGCATCGGTGCCTTAGATGTGCACAGGTTGATAATGTTCCACCAGCAACCCGCAGAGTAATATTGTCTGAGGCTGCCTGGGGCCTTTCCTTTGGGAAGTTCTTAGAGCTCAGTTTCTCAAACCATGCAACTGCTAACCGTGTCGCTAGCTGTGGCCATTCTCTTCAAAGAGATTGTCTCCGTTTCTATGGGTACTGCTTTTATCATGATTGTATCCCCCCTCCCTGCCCTTTATAATTTTGGTTGGTGCTTTGTTTTTTGGCAGGGATGATTGAAACAAGTAGAGCCAGTCTTTCGTTTGTTCCTTAATTTTTTTTTCTTATTTACTTGCTAATTTATGTTTGTTCGTAGGTTTGGAAGCATGGTTGTATTCTTTCACTACTCACCAATTGATATCCTCACTGTCCATCTGCCCCCTTCAGTACTTGAGTTTAATGGCCAAAGTAAGCAAGATTGGATGAAAAGAGAAGTGGAAGATGTAAGTTTTAGATTCTTTCTAGCTCTGTGATTGCCTCTACATTATAAATAGCTTCATCTTCTGTTTCTCTTGCCTTGATTAATTACAGCTGAAGAGTAAAATGGAAACCTTCTATGCTGAGGTGAGTGATGTACTCCATGTCATGGAGCAAAAGAGTACATTTTCCAGGGGCGCTTCAATGGATTCAGTTGACTTGCATAAGCACATTCTAGAGTTCAAAGACATCCTAGATAAAGAAAGAAATCACTACCAAGTGAGTATGTAGAATATCAGTTAGTTTTCAATTTCATATTCCTTATTTAAACCCTGCATTTCTGTACTTCTAGAACCTATGAGAGATGAATCTTATGGGTTTGTTTCTTAGTGTTGTAATCCTTCCTTCTATCAGTCTTTCATATTGAAGTGATTGAACTGTCACTGATAGACTTTGAGTTATGTTTCGTAGTTCTATCATGCTAATGTCTAAGAAAATCTTTTTGAATGTACATGTATTCATTAATTTCTGTCCATTAATTTCCTAGAGAAAAACCTGTCTAGTTTCTAAGCTTGGTTTGTTTTATTACTGATTCAAAGGGAAGGTGTCAGAAAGCAATTGACATGCAAGTTTGGATGAAACATTATGAATGTATTTTGTAACCCTGATTCTTGTTCATTGCCAAATTAGTAGGCTTGATTTAGTTAGTGGATGATTAATGCTATAATTTGTTAATTACAGGATTTACTTCAACTGGCTATGGATGACAATCTACAGTTGGTTGAGAGATCATTTGACGTTTTGGAGCTAAATCAACTGCGTAGGTCTCTTTTAGTTGGTTCTCATACATGGGTCCGTCGGTTTTATTCTCTGGATTCTCTCCTCAATTCTGGAAGTTATAAGCTGGAGGGTTCAGGGGATATTGGGTCTCTTGCTGAGCTGAAAGAGTTGAAGAATGACCTAGTTAAGGATTCCAAGTTTCTTATTGATCGAGCGGAAGATGAAGGGCACACCGAATCCCACTTTCTTGAGTATCTCAGTTCAGATACTTTACAACATTCACAACAGGAGGAATCATATGTGGACGGAGATATAACATTTAGTGATAAATCTTCAGAGACTCTGCATTCTCCTGCATCTAATTTGTCAGATAAAATAGACTCTGCATGGACTGGCACAGATGTAGACGTAACTGAAGCTGCTTCTGTAAGTCAAGTAATCCAAGCTGATAACCTGCCTCTTAAAAGATTGATGGGTCCAGCAAGGGTGTGTTCTTTTGACTCTGCTATGAGATTAGAAGAAAAGTTACTCCGAAGGTTGCATTCTGCATCACAACTCTCTGCTGTCAGGTCCTTCCATGCTTCTGGAGACTACAGAAATATGATTAAAGAGCCCACTCCAAGTGTTATGAGAACCTTTTCACAAGTTATACCGCACGAGGCTCAATTTATGCCTTCCTTTATCTCTGCATCTCATATGTTTGAAGGTCCTCGTTTACTGCATCCACAAACAGGCCAAAGCGATTTGGTTATTGCTGTCTATGATGATGAACCTACCAGCGTAATATCATATGCCCTTTGTTCGACAGAGTATGATAATTGGATCTGTGATAAGTCGAGCCAAAAGATAGCTAGCTGGAGTGGCAAAGATCTCCAGAGAGAGGATTCTGCAGTTTCCACTTTTTTATCCTGGCAGTCTATTGGCTCACTGGAATTAGATTACATCAACTATGGAAGTTACTGCTCTGAAGACTCTTTATCAAGGACTAATTCATCGGTGAATGATCAGAAGCGATCTCCTCACCTGCAGATTACTTTTGATGATGATTCTTCAGCTGCTGTTGGGAAAGTAAAATTTTCTGTTACTTGTTACTTTGCAAAGCAGTTTGACATGCTTCAAGAAAAATGTTGTCCCAACAAATTGGACTTTGTGCGCTCTTTGAGCCGTTGTAGAAGATGGAGTGCACAAGGGGGAAAGAGTAATGTGTACTTTGCGAAGTCCATGGATGAGAGGTTCATAATTAAGCAAGTGACAAAGACAGAGTTGGAATCTTTCCAGGAGTTTGCAGCGGAGTATTTCAAATATTTGAATGATTCTCTAGACTCTGGAAGTCCAACTTGTCTTGCCAAAGTGCTTGGAATTTTTCAGGTTGGGCATCTTTTTTCTTTTGTACCTTAGCTGTGTAATGAAGTTGTGAGGGAAGTGAAACTCCTGATCTCTTGTGCTTTTTATGACAGGTTACTGTTAAGCATCTGAAGGGCGGGCGTGAAACAAAAATGGATCTGATGGTGATGGAGAATCTCTTTTACAAGAGAAATATATCCAAGATTTATGATCTCAAGGGCTCTTCTCGGTCTCGTTATAATTCTGATACAACAGGAGCTAACAAAGTGCTTTTAGATATGAACCTCCTTGAGACATTGAGAACAAATCCCATTTTTCTTGGAAGCAAGGCAAAAAGAAGATTAGAAAGAGCTGTCTGGAATGATACATCGTTTCTGGCCGTAAGTTGCTTCTGCCTTCGTTATATTCGTAGTATTATCTAATGTGGTTCAAGGTCAGTATATTACCAGGCCTTCACTTTATCGTACCAATTCTTAACAGACTTTTCACATCGGACTAGTTGCAATGAAGGTGCATAATTTTAGACCTCACTAGATTGCCATTGGCAGGATCCACATGAGCTGCTGCTGAACATATCATTTTTATTAGTTACTGCTATAATATTAAGATATTGTTAGCCCAATGAGTATCAAGTTCTCTTTAGTTGATTTGACTTAATTAGTTTATAAAATATGATATTGAGTGACACCTCTTAAATTGCTGTTAGTTAGTAGGAATATTGCTGATTAATGCATAGGAATGATCCAGTTTTATCTTAGTCAACTCTAAAACCGTTATACCTATTAGGCTATTATGATCCCTAGTTCAAGAATTTAGCAAATTTTAAGTCGAGTATGTATTTGGTCCTGGCAAACTAAAGACTTTTCTGTTGGTTGATAAATAGTAGGACATTAACATTTTAGCAATACATCTTTCATTCTGCTTGAAGTGGAGGAATGCAAAGTGCATAATGGAAATTGGCGGTTACAATTTAATTGTTGTGTCACCTTCAGGGCTCAGGATTGAAATAAAATTCGTTTTTGAAACACGAATCACTTTTTCCCTTCCTAGGTGACCATTTGCCCTGCTCCCTCCCCTCTCCCCATGAAAACAGAGAAATATGAGACATGCTCACATGGCAGAAGTGTCAAAGGCTGACACCTTCTTCTTGTTTATTTGCAGTCTGTTGACGTTATGGACTACTCGCTGCTAGTGGGTGTGGATGAGGAGCGAAAAGAGCTAGTACTTGGTATAATTGATTTTATGCGACAGTATACATGGGACAAGCATCTCGAAACTTGGGTAAAGGCTTCTGGTATCCTCGGCGGTTTAAAAAACGCCTCACCAACCATCATCTCCCCAAAACAGTACAAGAGAAGATTTCGGAAAGCAATGACAACTTACTTCCTCACCGTACCCGATCAATGGTCATCTTGAGTTCATTTTCCCCTTTTTTTTTTCCCACTTCCAAATGTGATTCTTTTTGGTTCACAAATCAGCTGTTTAAGTTAAGAACAAGGCAGGTGATTCTTGTGATACCATGATGTTCATTCCTCCTTGATTCGAGCTCTAGAGGCCATTTTTTCCTTTTATTTTTTCTTTTCTTTTACATTTTTCTTATTTTCTTTTTAAAAAAATTGAACGGGCACAAATGTAGCCCAACAGAAAAAGTGTTAGATACATTGAGCGAAAGAAAGCATGTGCAAAGTTATGATAAATGAAGGTAGGTTCACATGAATGGGTTCCATTTATCTAGGAATAAAGTGTATGATGTAGGGAATGACAGAGCGTTCTCTCTTTCACTTTGTAACGTTACAAAGTTAGACCCGATTCCTTTGGATCTTACAACGTGGGAGCGTCGTGCCTTTCAAAACTTATGTGCTGTTTTTTTTAATGTCATCTTTTCCTTTCTTTGACAATGAGCCAAGAAGAAGCTACTAGATCAATGACCAAAGTTAATTAGCAACGAGCCAACTATTACGGTGAGATATCATTGAGAACTAAAGAAGAATACATAGAAGAAAAGGATGAAATTAATCTTAGGCTTATTAGCCTTAATATACATGAACATGGTTACTTATTGTGTTTAAACTATATTATGCTAATTTACTCTTGAGATTTTTGTATCAAATAAATTAGAGGCAAATGACCAAAAACTTATACTTCCTTTGTCTATTTTAAGTGCTTCGGGTTGACTAGGCACGTATGGTCACACAACTTTGTTAGAGCTTGAGTATTTTTATTCCTCAGAATGGTGATAAGTTTGGTTTAAAATATAATTGAATTGGATTGAAACATAAAGGAACAAACCTTAAGCAAGCAAGGATTCAGTTTGTGACAAGAACCAGAAATGGTTGACGTTATTTGACATAGTGTTATGTTGACCATGGTGTAGGATTGATATGACATAAAGTTGACTATCTGTTCTCATTGACTGAATTAGCTGAACTGAATTGAGTTGAGCTGAACTGAACTGAGCTGAATATTTTATAAGAGAAGGAAATTAGGAGCTGAACTGAATTGAACTGAAAATAAACGTATGAGACTAGACCCTAAGTTGTGAGTGAGACAAAATTGACCGTATATGATTTGATATCTATTATAAAACATATGGTATGCAAATCAAATTGAAATTAAGTAGTCAAATCGAGGTGTCTTTGACAAGCAGAAGATATGAAGGCCATTCTTCAAATATTGTAAGCCCCTTTTTGTTATTACTCGAACGAAAGTTGCATGGTGATGAATTTGAATTGAGCTTGAGTGGAACAAGACTACATTCGAATTGAATCTTTTGGAAGAGTATTGGAGAGTCCATTGGGATTGACAAGGATGTCAAAGACTCAAAGATTAAGAAAATAAGAAGTTTGAATTTGTGATTACAAGCAAGTGACAATGGCGTGGGATTAATGTGGTTGGCTCTCAATTTAGGTTAGCTGCCCACAAATTAGTTAAAGAGATAAAGAGAATATGAAAATTGACAATTAGTATAGTTATTATTGTTTGATTGTTTTATTGCTTGTAACTTGTTCTAAGGGAGATTGTGTCTATTTTCTTTGAAAATGAAACCCTTCAATTCTAAAAGAAAATTCGAAGAATCCTCTCTAAGATTTGCCTAGAACAAATAATGGAAGACCTCATAACACAATATTATACAATTAATGGGGTCAAAACTCAAGATAAGGCTACATACATATCTTTTTTGAATCGACCATTTGAATTCCTTGAATTTGAATGAAATCGATTGTGCATGCCTTTTAGTGGTTTTATAAGAATCGTAATGTAATTAGGTTCAAGATTTTTAATAGAAGGACACTCAAGAGCCGAATTAATCCCCCAAGTTGTACAAATTTGCTATTGACTTTTGAAATTTCAATTTTCTTATTGCCTTTGTTTGAACTTTATTTTTGATCTTGATTTCACTTTGCAATTGATTTTAATTTTTTGACTTTCACTTGAAATTGAATTTTGTTTAAAGTTAGTCTTGATTTGAAACTTACAATTATATTAACCATCTTTCTATTTGCACGTCTTTCATGCAATGTATATTATTCCATCCTAATATTTAGCAGATGTGGTTGAAGAAATAAGGATTAATATATTAGAGAAGCCCAAAATGGCTAGCAAGTGGAAATGATTTTGCAGAAAGGTCAAAGGGCATTAATTGATGAACATGTCGAGAAAGGTGTATTTCATTGTTCTATCCAAAGTTTGAAAAAGTGCTTCTAAGGCACGCCTAGGCGCAAGGCGATCAGGGGTGAGCGCTTAATTAGGTCTGGGCGAGGCGTTTTGGGTTATGCGCACAAAAAGCGTCCGAGGCATACTTGAGGCGCACTTGAAGCACACATGAGGCAAACATCAGCCAAATTTTTAAAAAATTCCCATATATAGCGCCTCACTTCAAAGAGGCGCCTTAGGCGAACCTAGGCGCAACAAAACCCTTCTCGCTTCAGTGTGCCTTGAACTTTTTAGTACATTGGTTCTTTCTAATAAGCATTTTTTTTTTGTCAAAGTGACTATTTGTTTTTAGTCAAGTTTATTAGAATTAAATTGAGGTCAAACGGTGTTTACATTGTCATCACCGAATTATATTGATGCACAAATAATATAAGGACATAACTAAAAACTACTTGTATTATTGATTTAGAAATAACTTCGATTTTATTGAAATACAAATCTAAAATCAAGACTCAATATAATAATGTAAAAAGGAGGGGCTCTCTAATTAACTTGACCTAATTAATAAGATTAGAAGATGCTAATAATGTTTGATAAACCCATATCAGGGCTAGGTTCCTAATCAATTGGATCCCATGAGTTATGTTGAAATACTTTGTCCATGATCAAATCTTGCAATATGCTTTATTAGGTCCTATCAATATGCTTTATTAGATTTTTAAAACATTATGAGCTAGACTTGACTGACTAAAAATGTGACATGGACTCGTACTAGAATTGGACCTAATGAGTGTTTGTGATGTGGACTTGAAGTTGAGTGTGACGGAACTTGGACTTAGGTAAGTTTAGACATCTAAAAATTGTAAAAAGTTGACACGAGCCATGGGTTGAAACGATTATGATTAAACGGTTGAGTAATGAATTGACACAGTTCGAGTTAAGCAAGTCACAAATTGTAAATGATTTGGGTATAGTGTGCCACGAGATGAAATGGTGTAGGTTACATGGTATTTTTTTGGATTAAAACAGTTTGATCCGCTATTGGTAAGAATGTAATCATTTCGGTTTGGAATCTGTTCAAGTTGTAATGCATAATTTCTTTCAATATCAAGTGCAATATATTGAATAAAATCGGTTTGGTTTTGATTATTGATTCCCAATTGGTAGGTTCTAATCGATTTAGATCCTATTGGATCAGTAGTTTCACAATTTAGGTAAGAAATTGATTTAGCTAAATGAATGCAAGTGATGTGTCCTTTTGGGCCTATGTACAATATACCACTTTTTTTTTTGAAAAAAAAAAAAGTGGTACATTGTACATGTACCACTTCCTTGAGTAACAAGAATGATTGCAATAAATAGAGTAAACCAATACAATATTACATTACGAAATTTATCAATAGGCTTTTCTAGGGACATCCAACTTTCATAGTTAAAACCAGTATTTGTAAAATATCTCAGCAAAAAGAAATTATGTTCGTACAATATACAAGTGGGTGTACATAAACATCATTTTTATATGCTGGATACGAGGTAATAAACTAATTTTTTTTTTCTTTTTCTTAGCTTTTACTTTTTTGATTGGAAAAAAAAATGGCATAGAAAAACTACATCTAATTCTGAGCTATATCATATGGTGAAATTTTAACTTTAGCTATTTTTTTTTTCCTTGAACTGCTTCATTTATTCTCCATACTTTATCATGATGCAACGGCTAGTCTTATCTCGCCTTCACGAATGGGCATGAAGCCTACTCGTTTCTGTCACAAAATAGTGAAATATTAATCGTTAGCAAGTGATGGTAACAAAATGTTAGGTCTTGTATGAATATGCAGTGATCCAAATCTAATAAAACCTCATATAAAGTGTAATAAAAATCAAAGTAATTTGTATATGTAATACCCAAATTCAAAATATGTCAACTGAAACAAAGAAAGTATATATAATTCGCGTAGTAGCTATTGTTTAATCTAGAGAATTGTGGCTCAAGTTTTATTTATTTGTACAAGGGGTTGTTTGGCAATTAGTAGTTAGCTGATGGTTGTTGGGTTGTTTGCTTAGTTTTTTTTTACTAGCTGGAAGAATTAGTTGTATGGATGGACTTTTTAAATTAGTTGGTTAAGCCGGTTGTTTATAAAAGTGTTTGGTAATTCAAAATTAATTGTGGTTGTTAGTTGTTTATTAGTGATAGAGTAGACCAACAAGTTAAAAGCTAGTAGAAAAAGCTACTCTTATTAGATTTTGACTTTTGCCAAAATAGTCAGTTTAAAAGCCAACAAAAAAAGCCAACTACAAAACATAATTTTTTGTTGTTTGACCAAACTAAAAAGCCAAAAGCTAAACAAAAAGTCAATCGCTAAACACCCCTAATTCTAACAAAATCCTCATTAGAATTGTCATTTACTGATATGGGCCCCTAATATAATTAATTGTTTTAATAATTCAGAATTTGTCAAATGCCCTGAAATTAGTACTCCTACGGTACTGCCTAGTTTACACATTAGAAGCAAGTTGTTGGTGGACAAACAAATTCTATGTTGAATTTTCAAATATGGAGTTGTTTGCAACAATTAGAATTTAGCTCTATTATTTTTGGACCATCTTATGTTTTTCCGGAAGTTTGCATATAATACATACAACATTGGAGCCACTTTACTCAAATTGTACTTTTATATTGTTTAATTAGCACTGCTCAACTATTTTTTAATTAACTTTTCATTATTATAATAACATCTCCAAGTTTTAGGAAGAACTTTTATAAGGAGTAATAATTAACGGCAAAGATTAAAAATATAACTTATGTATAGTGTGAACTCATCCGGTCAGTCGGTCACCCCTATAACATTATGAAAGGTCACTGTAATCTCTATCTACGTAAGTGTAAGTTTAATTCATACTTATTTCGAGCATACTAAATTATATCATATGTACTGTTTTTTGACGAAAAAAAAGGTATGTACTTCGTATATGTTATACTTTGATTGATCCTTTTAGCTTGATTGAATATATAGGGACAAAAAATAAAGTGTATGCCGTATATTTCTAATTATATTTTTATATTATAAAACAAAAATAAACATTGTATTAACATCCTGATTTTCATTTTAATCTTGATATAAAACCATTTGATTGATGGAGAGAGATACCAAATTTTGATTTATTACTATATAATATATCCATTGGCATACTTACATATATTAAATAGTTCATTGTTAAGTAAGTGTCAAAATATAGTATCAACACATATATAATGATACTCATATTAGCCATTTATCTTAATACTCTATTTGAGTTAGTTCAACTGTTATTGTACGAGATATGATAAATGTTAAATAATATGACAAGACATATATTAATTTTACGATCTACTCTATAATATTTTGTAAACGGTACCTCTTACAAGATATTGAAAAATTATTTCTTACTAATGAAAATTGCTAGGACCATAATCAATGTTCGAGTCATTATGCTCATCTAAACTTAATTTATTAGACCTTCTTATATTTTTATGACTAAATCTGATTAACCATCTCATATATTAAACCTTCTTTTGAAGCAAGGTTTGTTGTTGACAACGTAATTATGAACAAATTTAAACATTATATTTGTGATAAAAAATTAAAAAGTCAATGATTTTATGGAGAATTGAATAATCATAACAAATATGAAATGAATTCACTTATAATATGTTTGTTCATTAGATAGACTGGTGGAATCTTAGGTGTAGTTTGGGTGCAAAACCGTTGTTAATAGTAGATTTTGTTTTTCTCCACTTGCAATTCTTTTTTTTTTTTTTTTGAAAATATATAATTTTAAAATACATAAAGAATATTGTAATGCACTTGCACACTTACGTATGAGTAGGGTAAGTGTGACATGCGGGTGACACCTGATAAGTACGAAATTCCACATCTTCGGGAAATTATACTCGATCTTTTCTGCCTATTCTACTTCATCCATTTTATTGATTTTAAACATTACGGAGTATTTACTTATTAATGTTAGAAATTGTTAAATTATGAATTGACAAACATGAAAATGATATATTTTCTCTAGAATACGAAGGACATATTACGTAGCTGGGATGGACTATTATTGTGTAGTATGTAGTGTATTAGATAGATTAAGGAGTAATTCAAGAATCGTATAAACTAAAATCGAAGTAGAACAATTTTGGAAAACTTTTGTATACACCCGGTTTTCAGTAATTTACTGTACATCGGGCACACTTTTTGTCAGATTTAGTGTCACTTTTGTCAAATTTAGTGTCACTTTTGTCAAATTTATCAATAAAGCATAAATAACTCTTATATATGTCACGTTAACTTTTGTGCGTTTTAGTGTAACTTTTGCACATTTTATTGTCACTTTATCACGGATGTTCAGTAATTCATTTTATTTAAAAGTTTGTGAACAATTTTTTAGACATGACCCCTAAAAGTGGGGCAATTTTTAAGGAAAGGGATGAATAGGGTAGTCGTATAAGACAATTTATAATGCTTAATTAATTAAAATGAAAAAATATTAACATGTTTCGTCCTATAATGTTTTTTTGGTTTTCTTTTTAAGGTAGTAAAGTGTTCCAAAAATGATCTTTTTATTTCTAATTTTTTCCTTTCTAAAGTCATCCTTATTTCCTAAAATCCCTATCAAAATTTAATTACCAATTTGTCCTTATTTTCTCGTAATTTTTAACATTCCGAAATAATTATTGATCACAGTACGCATGTGGAACTCTTTGATTCATGGGAACAACTTTTATGAAAAAATTTATAACTGAATACAATCATTCATGTTTCTTTATCTCCCGTAAAAATTTTAAAACACAAAAAATAATATAGGACGAAGTGAGTATCATTTTACCTTGTAACCTCCTTGACTACTACGAGCCATCGGTTGGCCCAAATTACCATCAACAACATCTTTGCCCTTCCAATTGCTAGCCACACCATTTCCAACGTTATTTACGCTACTACTCTTTGTCTCATTTTGACCCGTTTTCCCCAAACACAAGGCCATAATCTTCTCAGCTACCGCGTCTTGGTCCGCGTTTTCGCTCATCAACCTCTCCACTTCCGCCTTGGGAAGCTTCATCCTCACCCTCAAACCCGAGTTCACACCTCCCTCACCACCCTCCTGTACCCCATCATGGGACCCGCTGTCAACCATAATTCTAGTAGCGGGTCCCATGATGGAGAGGTCTGATACAGACCGCCTCGAAAGCATCAAGCTTTCGAGGCGGTCTTTAGCGGACATATTGATCCCAGACCGGACCCTCCTAGGAACCCGGTGCTGGTGGTCATGTGGAAACTTGGGTAACTCTACTAAGAAGTAAAGCTTCTTAGGCTCGAGATTATGAAACGGATCAAGTGGCTTTGCCCGTATACCATAATGTTTAACCGCATCCGAATCCAACACCACATGACCGGGATAATCCTTAACCACCTCCTTAGCTTGTATCGGTGTCTTAAACTTCATTGTTTCACCATTTATTTTCATAATTTTCGCGGTTTTCTTACCTCCTAAAGAATTTCCCATATCGAAATATCAACAAAATATTAGCAACAATATTATTTTTTTTGAAAAAAAAGGTGGGAAAAGTAAGCTAAGTTGGAGAAGTGGGTGTTGGATTAGAAGTTTGTGAGAATAGCAATTGTAACTAATGTTAAGGCATGATTATAAGGGTGGGTGTTGGAAAAAGACCCGTGTTTAAGGAGCACGGTAGAAAGAGTCATAAGGTCAAATTATGGATACTAAAAAAAGTTTGAAAATCTTGCCAATGTTAGGAAAAAGGTTGACGAATTAATTAAACTAATGTTTGATTCTATCTACATTAAAGTTTTGTTATAGCACTATTTTTACAACCGTGTGAACGATAATATATTTAGTTTGACAATTTTTGAAACTTTTTTGGTTGAATAATTTCTCGTGCAAATGGTTTAAATTAAACTTTTCAAACATACTGTTTTTCGGATTGGGGTTCATGTAAAGACATATATGTCGGACGTACACGTAGGTTTCATGTTAGTAAACAACATCAATTACAGAGTAATTCTGGTGTTTGGGTCAAACCGGGTTTGGTGTGGTTTGGCTGGGTCGGGTCTAAAAATTTAAATTATTCTAAATTATAATTGTGTTCACATTTTTTCTTTTTTTTTTTTTTTTTTTTTTTGGTGTCTGTCCAAGTCGGATTGGTGAGTTAATTTTTGACATCTATCCCATATTATTATGTATCCTTTTTGTAAATAATTTCATGTAGAGTTTATTTTATTCACCTAATTTTTATATGGAAAATGTTATACATAGCTCTTAGGGCTACATATAAGCATTAGATTTACACTTGAAAATCGTAATAAGTTAAGAAATCATAAAAATATAAACACTAATTACACTGATTTACGCGTGTTTTTGTCATGTATTCCTAATTTTATACAATTTTCAAGAGTGTATTTAATGCTTATATATAGCCCTTAGGGCTACATATAACATTACCCTTTATATATCTTAACTTATCAAAAAATTGTTAAAACTGAATTTAGTACTCCGTAATACACTAGTACTTTGATCTTAGATACTTTTTGTTAACTTTATTAAAATCTTAACATATGAATAATAAACTTATAAATGAACCATTATATAAACTAATCTAAATAAATTGTTCTTGAAATAATTGGTTAGGTGAATAAGTTATCGCTGAAAAATTATACTTAATTTTTGTGTATATGAATTTATCAAAAACTTACAAGAGTTAATTTATTAGTACATTAACATATTCTTGTTGGATACCTCTTATTAACCCTATTTTTTCCGTACAACTTTATTTTTCTTTACCTTATCATATACAGTATGAACTTATACTCCGTAATTAACAATTATATAAGCTAATCTAAATTATTATTTTTTTCCTGAAATTAGTTATGATGGTGAATAAGTTATGGCAAAAATTATTACTCCGTAGGATAACGTATGTCACTACATAAACGTCCTTTTTTCCTCAATGTTTTTTTTTTATTATTTTTTTTTATTTTTTTTAATTATATTATTTTATTACAAGAATTATTGTGTTTTTCCTCAAATTTTATTACTCTTTTTAGCTCCTTAACATGTTCCGATGTTCGCATGACACTATGACACTAGTACTCTTGTAATTTTACATGATTAAAAACATATATCTAGCTATGGTACAAAGATAATTTTAATGATTATGGAGTAACATTCTATATTTCATTGTCTTAATCAGTTATTAAATTAAGATTACTAATAAAGTGATATAGTCGTAAGTTCATAACTGCATGATGTGTCGTTGTACTCTTTTTCTTCAATATTATATTATAATGAGATATACGATCCTTTATAATAATAAATGTTAGTTATCTACTAAATCGAATTAATCAAGTCATTGATATAATGATAATAGCATAGAAAATTATGATTGATGTTAAGTTCTTAACAAAATGATATTAATGCAGTATATGATACTTCGTATGACTCTTTAAATTTAAGGAGCCAATAATAATTTGGTAACAAATACTGATAGAGAATATCCATAGAATATTCTCATCTTAGGTTTAGGATATATTTTGTTACCTTATATGATTAGGTTTCTCATTGTAACCCTATAAATATTGATCAATGAAAATCACTCTTATCGAGGAGTTTCATATTATCTGACAAATACAACATAACCCATGCATACTCGATAAGACGAGCAAATCGAAACAATAATAAACGATCCAACCCAGCTTAAATTAAAACAATTCTCGAAATTAATGATCCAATTAATCAGACACGTATCCGATAATCTATCGTAAATTCTAGACGTGATATACTGATATGTAACCCAATTGACTAGACTTCCTATATACTTCCTCCGTTTTTTTATAGTTGCAACACACGCTTTTCACGGTATTTACAATATGTGGGGTTCACGTGATATAATACATCTTTAAAATGAGGTGTGAGTGGATGTTAGGAGCGTAATTTAGTGGGTCATGTGCTTTAAATAAGGGAATTAGTACATATTTTCTCTAATATAACTTTCCATTTATAGTGTGTTGCAAGTATTGTGATATTTTCATTTTAGGAAAATGTTGCAAATATTAAAAAAACGGAGGAAGCAATTGTAAATACACACTTTACGAGACCAAGCTTATATGTATATGTCTCCAAGTCAGTGCCTAAGTGGGCCTCAAATGATATGTTTTTTTTTGGTGTTCCACACAGTTCACCCTTAGAGGTTACCGTGTATAACTTGACTTGGCTTGTTAAACCTAAACCTTTTATAACATGATTTAAATTAGCAAATCAAAATGTAATCAATCCAACCTGATTCAATTTTAGGATACCAATAATTTAAATCAATCTAACAATAAATTCACATGTTTATTTAAACCCAAACTAGTCCGACTACTCGTATTATGAACACTATAATTAGAATAAGTGCACCCTACGACAACTATGAGTATACTAACACACTATACATTAATAAATCCCTAATGAGTTAAGATATAGCATGCATGGGTCATTGATTATGCATATTCTTGAGAAAAGTGGGTCGTCTTGTTGATGGGCGGCCATTATCTTACATAATTTCTTCAAGCTTACCTTTTCCATTTTAAATTTTATAGTGCACGAGGTAGCTGGTGTAACAAACTGCTATTTTTTTTCCCGTATTTTATTATTATTATTACTCGTATTATTTTTTACTCCGTATTTTTTATTTTATTAATAACTGATACATATATTATAATTATATGAGTAGTATTTTTTATACATAAAACCTCTTGAACATGCATTTTTATTAAGCGGTTCATGAATCACATTTCTTATTGTACATTGTATTTTACAATTTATAAATATGAGTTTCCATGTGTGTGTGATCTAGCTATAGTATTTATTCATTTTTATTTCTAATCTTAAAGAGTTAAAGAATTCAATTAAATAATATTCGATGAACTTTCGGGTCATTACGGCCTAGGAATATATTTTCTCTATGGATTTTTGGCTTATAAACTTATACAACCTCAGTTCCAAAAAGATGTCAATATTTGATTATTATTTTGGAAAGTTAAACAAAAATGATCCAACCTTTAATTCCTTACCAACCTTTAAATCTGTCCAAAATAATTAACCTAAATTTGTAATTTTTCTGTAGTAAACCTAAATGACTTGTGACCTAAAAGACCAGATATTTATTTATTATTATTTTCCTTTAATTATCATTTATATATTAACAAAATCAAATTAAAAAAATAAAAAATTAAATTCAGATCACCCCCACCCCACCGCTAGCCACCCCATCCTCCCTCCCTCTACCGGCGATCAAACCCCTCCTCCCTTTCCCACCCACAATTGTTGTGTGGGGTGGGGGTCACCGACAGGAAAGGTGGGATGAGGAGTCGAAGCCGATAGGGGTGGGGAGCTAGGCACCGCCAGGCGCGCGGAGGAGAGGGGCTGAGTGGATGGGGAGGTGGTTGGTTTTATTTTCTTACAAAAAAATTATTTTTAAAATTATTGTATTATTAACAAAATAAATTATTAAACATAACGGATGGTTAATGATTTTTATTATTTTTGTTGAATAATAATGATTTTTTATTAAAAATAAACTCCAATGTTGTCATAATATGTACTTGATATACAAAATATGTGACATTTAATTATTCTTTTCTATAATCTTATTTTTCTTATTAATAACCGCGTAATATCACTAAATGTAACAATATTTAATTTCAGGAATGAAATTAAAGGGACGAGACCTTATTATTTGTTGGGATTGAGTATATGAATCAGATTATTGTGTTATGAGTTGGTTTTTCTATGTCTTCATGAATTGTTCCTACTAATTACATTATCAAATCCAGAAGACTTGTGAATTACATTATCAAATCCCGTCAAAAAAAAAAACAAAAAACCTTAATTTCAAATCCAAACAGTCTACTACTCTACTTGGGGTCTTCCACCACATATAATAGACAATTTCAATGCAAAAATTTCTGATTCAAAGTATTATGCACAAGAAGTCTCTTCCTATAAGTATTTCTTCGGAAAGATCCTAAATTGTATGTAGAACTTCTTATACTACATATACTTTGATACTTTCTTTGCTTCTTTTAACTTAGAACAAACAACATATAAAAAGATTGTTTACCATGATTTTTTATAATATTTTTTCAACTTTTGTGTAACTAGGGGAGCCTATGTGCGAGTTGCGTGCGACATAATCGATGTTTATGGTCAAGTTGTAATAACTTGTCATGATACCCAAAACTTATTGGGTAGACTTTTGAATGCATATACTAAGAAATAAATTGTTGATAATCATTCCCTGGCATAGGTACAAAAAGGTAACACTTGAAAATATATAATCACTATTCACTTTTTAGTTGTAAGTTTTTTATGGTGTAATATGGCTTTTGTTGTGAGTTATAAAATACAATTATCCGTCACTTTTAGTTGCAACACTTGAAAATATATACATTTTTCATTTTTTTTAAATAATTGATCATTATTTTATTGACTTTTTTGTTGGAAAAAATAGTCATGTGGGATCTTATTAAATTCATTTCGATTTATACATATGTTTTAAATATTTAATCTTTACATTATTTATATTTCTATAAATTTAACTGAAAAACATTCAAAAGAAAAATGTCTAATTAGATGATTACGTAATTAAATTCAGTGGGTTTGTGTGTGTGTGTGTGTGTCTGTTTGTTTGTTTTAAAGAAAATAGTAACAAAGTGGGTTATATCCAGACTATTCCCCACCCTTTGAAGAGGATT